GCTCAACTTCTTGCCGGTATGCAGACTCATCACCATCTTGAATGAGGCCAATGACAGTGGTGTCATCTGCAAACTTTAGGAGTTTGACAGCCGAGTTCTTGGAGGTGCAGTCGTTAGTGTAGAGGGAGAACAGTAGTGGTGAGAGGACACATCCTTGAGGGGCACCAATACTACTTGCATTCAACATTGCTTCAAGCAGTTTCTTCTATCTTTTGCTCTCCTACATCCAGTCATGTTTCTGATCTGCAGCTATTTAGCTCTGTTGTGATATGTTCCACAAGGTTTTCTCCCTGAAAAAATAGAATGTATGTTTCAATATGCTACATGTTGTCTGTTTACCATTTTCAACCAAATATTTCTCTTTGTCCCATCCCACTCCAACACTACCTTCTTTTATGATCTTTGTCTTCATCCTTTTTCTCTGCCCACACACTCTCTTTTTCTGTTCCATTTCCCTTTCACTTCTCCTTCTACTCTGTCTCCTATTTTTTTTCCTCACAGTGACAGGAAAGCCCTTTTTCATTGTGTCTAGTTTATCCCACCGCTGGCTGTTTGGCTGGGAGGGATGTCGATTCTATGGCTGGGCAGGCTTCTTCTTTGGATGTGGGAGCCTCATCACAATGACTGTGGTCAGCCTGGACCGGTATCTCAAGATTTGCCATCTCCGATATGGTGCGTAACTAACAACTCAGCAAATTTTCATAAAAATCAGATGTTCATATACACTTACATACTTTAAAGGGAACCAAAGTATTTTGCCAGTATCTCAGAATTAAAAATACCCTGACTGGGAGAGCAACATGGGGTTAGTATCTTGCCCAAGGATATTTGGCATGCAGACTAGGGGTAAGCCAGGAATCGAACCACCAAGCTTCCGAGCAGTGGGTGACCTGCTCTGCCGCCTGAGCTACAGCCACCCCTGTAAACATACAAAAAGACGTACAAAAAAAAAATGAACAGAAAATGAGTGGCTGTTGCTTGAATCTTATTCGACAGATTTTACCTAACCAAACAAAAGCAGATGCAACCACCAGGTACTTACTTAATTTTCCAGTATGCTTATAAATTCACCAGTATGCTTATAAATTCACCACATAACAAGACATCCATCCTTTTTTCTCCGTTTTATCTCTGTAATTTTTTTTTATAATTGATCTTTTTCTCATACTGAGGCTGCTGGCTTGTGACTAGCTCTGAGCTTTAGCCTCTTAAAATGTAAATTTTTATATGGTTGAGGTAATATAAGTTTCTGATTAGGTTTATTGTTGAATGTGTTTATGATGGACCCCCTGCAAATAACTGTAATAAATGCTTTCAGTCACAGTTACAATGCTAATTTCATTTAACATGTACAGATGTTGCAAACCTGGAATATGTACAGTGGTCCCTCGCTATAACACGGTTCACCTTTCGCGGCCTCGTTGTTTCGCAGATTTTTTTTGTGCAATTATGCATGTTGTTTTTGTTGGTTTGTTTTACAGCGCATGGTGTTCTGGGTACTGATTGGCTGTAGACCATTGTCAATCAATCTCGTGCTGTGTCTCCTGTACAGTACAGAATGTGTTCAGCTTGTCAAATTTACATAAATATTTGATCGCTAGCAGTGTGTTTCTGAAGTGCTGTACTGTATGTTTGTAAGTTTTATGTCCAACAAACACAACGTCAACGAAACGTTTTTCACCGTCAAAGGCACCTGGGGTGAAAAGTGTGAACATTTCCATGCCTGTCTGAGAAAAGTGTATAAAGTGTGTAGTGAGGAATTTTACAGCCTTAAAACATCTATAATAATTGTAAAAAAATGGCTCTACTTCGCGGATTTCACTTGTCGCGGGTTATTTTTTAGAACGTAACTCCTATGATAAACAAGGGACCACTGAATTTGTTGATTTTCATGTAAAAAAGATATGAATAGGTCTGCAGTCTAGATCCAAACCTGTGACTATAACTACGTATTTAAATGATCACAATTTAATAAAAGGAGTTATTCCTGAATCACTGGCCATTTCTTGACAAGGTTTAGATTTACCTTCACATGAGTTATAGGCCATAAATGATGCTCTAACAAAACATCTGTAAGCCTGTATTGCACAAATATCTAGGTTCATGATCTACTGTAAGTGCTCCTGTTACTTTTTAATTTCCATTCAGTTCCCACACTATTATAGTGTACATTACTATAATGGTGTGGGAACCCCCCATCATAAACATCAGATTAAGGGGGGCTCCCCATCATCTGATCCCTGCAGTGTTTTGTGAAACAAAACAGCGCAGCACTCCACTGCACTGCTTTGTGAAGGGATGGGGCTTTTAGCCTCCAGAGTATAGTATTTGTTATTAGCCTATAACCACAGTTAAGCCGTTATAACACTGTATTGTAATTCTTTTAAATTAAATTCCTTTTCAGTCATTCATAGTCAAACACAATAATACAAATGTGTAAGATCCCAGAATTAAAATATTCCACTACAGTAGTTTAATACTTTTTTTTTGTTTACTGATGTCAACAACATACCTTTTGATGTGAAGAGTCATTGACTACAGATGATTATTTTTTTTAATACTCAGTATTTTTCTAGGAATTTTTGTAAGTCTCTTACTACATCTAATGCTCTGAATCCTTTTCACTTGTGGCATAGAAAATTGGTCTGGCAGTCAAAATGTACCATTTAACCAACATTAGTCTTGGGGTTTCTTTCTCCAATCCTAGGTGCATGGCTAAAACGCCACCACGCGTTCCTGTGCCTGGCCTTTGTATGGGTGTATGCAGCCTTCTGGGCCACAATGCCCCTGGTGGGCTGGGGAAATTATGCTCCGGAGCCCTTTGGGACCTCTTGTACCCTGGACTGGTGGTTGGCTCAAGCCTCAGTGTCTGGCCAGAGCTTCGTCATGGCCATTTTGTTCTTCTGTCTTATACTCCCTGCAGGGATGATTGTCTTCTCTTATGTTATGATCATCTTCAAGGTCAAGTCATCTGCTAAAGAAATTTCACATTATGATGCACGCATCAAAAACAGCCACACCCTTGAGATGAAACTGACAAAGGTAGGTCCAACATTAATGATCATGGAAGTGGAACAAAGAGCAAAGATTTTTGAGTGCTACTCAGTCCAAATTTATGATCAGAATATAATTTTGTGTCCAGGTGGCAATGGTGATCTGCACAGGCTTCTTGATAGCCTGGATCCCTTATGCAGTGGTGTCAGTGGTGTCAGCATTTGGTGAGCCAGACTCAGTGCCCATCCCTGTGTCTGTTGTTCCTACGTTGCTGGCCAAATCCTCCGCAATGTACAATCCCATTATCTACCAGCTTGTGGACCTGAAAATCTCAGCCTCCTGTTTTAAGGTTATGAAGAAACAAAGGCATTTTAGAAAGTCAAGGTAAAACTAGCCTTTATACATACATAAAGACATTTTCTGAAATGTTTTAGCAGTGGGAAAAATTTTCCTTGATGCTTTCTGCTAGAAAACAATCTTTAGCCCAGAACAGATCATGGTTATAGGATTTCACCCTTTCAAAAACCTCTTTTGGAGTCGAACAAAGCCTTGGCAATCAGGATTCAAAGAAAATAATCTGTGCTCAAAACTATTTCCAGAAAAGTGTTTAGCACAAAATATAGGATTAATGCTGAGGCCTTGAGATTAGTCAGCAACCCTCTGGCAACCTCCGGTCACTGGGAGAGAATGTGTATTCATTGACTGGGAGAAATCCCAGATCCCAAATCAAAGAGTATGGTGCACCTGAAATCTCCTTGCAATTGCTTTGGTGACTAGCGGATTGCTGTCAATGATAGTTTGCATGGCACATACCAGCCTGTCTGCCATGCCATGCCAGCCTGTCTGTAAAACTTAGTAACTAATCAGCAAGCAGCAGCAAGAAACTTGGAAATATGTGATGAAAACTGGAAACAAAAGACCATGAAGACCATTTACCATGAAAATCAATGTTGGACCTTATGAAATTTGTTGGTTACAGCGGTAAGGGTACAAGCAACTATGGGCAACCTCAGCAACCTACTACTAGTGATCAAAACAATCACAGGGAGATTTTTGCAATGTATTCTGTTTTTGACCAGTTTCATGTAGTGACAGGAACCGCCCCCAATCACCTGCCAGCTGGCCACATCTGGAACATTAGATTTTTCCCTAGTAATCAGTGCTTATTAGAGGGCCAGTGACTGGTTTCTAGGCCTGAGTGACTAGGTCATAGCAATCTATTTCACAGCACTACACAGAAAAGCAACCTTTAGCAACAACTTACAGTTGGTCAGGGAATACTCATTTTTCTCTTGTGACCTGTGGTTTCTAGGTGGTCTGGTTGCCCACTGACCTCTAGGTTTGTGTGATTGGGGCCTTAGGTTTTGGAGCAACCTCTATAAGGTTAGGAATGAGTTTTATTTTAGCCACATGCTAAATAGGTACATTTCATAAAGTAGAGACGCAAGCCTTTAGGGATTGCGTCAGGAAGGGCATCTGGTGTAAAAAATCAGATCATATATGTGGAACTACCTGTTTAGCTGCCCCCCTTATGTACTTGGGGGCAGCTAAAAGAAGCTAGTTAAACTTTCAGATAATATCCCAAATCTTTTGATTATAGTTTTTATTGTTGAAACCTTTTGCATTTGGGTGTTTCAAATTGACAGAAAAGTGGACATTAACCAAACCGAAGCCAACCCTACTGGTAAACAATGACCTTAGATAGTTTAAAAGTTTTATACTTAAAGGTTTGCTTCACAATTTTTATTTTTTGCTTGTATATTGGTGAGCTTTTTTGGTCTGACTATTCTATCATATGTTCACATCTCTGCAGGTTCTATGCCATCTCTGGCTCATTAAAAGAAACACCACCAGCCAAAGAAGTCCACATTGAAGTGTGAGACAAATGTGAAGCTACATGACTTCTTTTTACCGCTTCTATTTTGGACAGTTGGACTTGTTCCCTGTCCTATGTGCTCTACCAATCACTCTCGACATTTTCTGTCACATTATGGACTGCATACATTTGTTCCCAATTATCACAGCTTGGTTTTGCACCCACACCGGATATCCATGTAACCCTCAGCTCCCAACTTCTTACTTGGAAAACATCTTTCCTATGTGGTGTTCTTCCCATGTGGTCACTTGAATGGTGTTGTTTTACATTGGCAGTGTGCATGTGATAAACCCACTCTTTCAGCTCCCCCCTCATTATTACAGACACATTGTTTGTCAATGTTATTAGCAAACAATGCACATCTTACTGACTTACCAGCATTTTTGCTACCAGCTCTTCGCCACTGTCAACCCAAAACTTAAGATATACCATTTTTGGTGGAGAAAAAAAAGGTAAAACTATTACAAATATTTCAAAGGTTTAATTTAAGCATATTTCATATGCTCAACTGCAATTTAACACTGCAACAACCTTGGCACATGTAAGTCATGTGCCAGTGTGGCCTCAAGCTCAAAGTATCTTTACTGTTGTCCTTCGTACTCTTACATGTGTGGCTTCTATACTGTAAATATATATCAAAAGCAAAAGGTACTGGATCACCTTACTTTCTATGTTTTCTTCAGCTTTTTACTACACAGAACCGTTTATGTCACTTTGATTCATAAAAGTAGTTAAAGTAACATTGTTACTTTTAAAACAAAGCCAATTTATCTAATTGTAGTGAATTTTTACATAAACCAATCATTTAAAGTGACAACACCTAAAGTTTTTTTTAGTTCTATTTTTCAATATTGTGGTAATGGGCACAGAAATAATAATAGTTAAATCAGGGACCATTTTTATTGTGTTCATTGTTGGGTGTCTTTTTTGCTAATGCAAGAAATAACAGGATTCATTAAAGAGTAATGCTGAGAATCAGATTTTTAAAAAAAATCTTGTACATGTGTAATAAGTATGAAATTATAGCTCAGAGGCAATGAGCTTTATCTTAGCAGAACAACAAGTAACACTACTACTACTTGTTTAATCCAGGTACCAGTTCATAAGTCAAAGGTGATAAATTATTGTTTCTTGGGCAGTTGTGTACTAAAACCAATTGTAACATTTGTTAAAGATGTAGTTTGAGATTTCAATTAGTCAGCTTTTGATTTCTCTGTAGACTAGATTTTCAACTTTTAGACTTTTCATCTAGCCTTTTCTTCTTGACTGCATTTATTTGTACATTTGTGTTAAGCTAATTTTGTTTCTCAATTGTAGCTTCATACTTATAGATAAACGAGAGTGACATCTCTCAGTTGACTGAGAAGACGTCTAATTTAAGCATCGTGTGAGACAGTGCTATTGCTGGCAGTTAATTGGCTAGCTAGCAATTGCTTGCTTGCCATTGCTACTTATATGCTAATGGCATTGCATCCAAGCATTGGGAAGTCATTTATATCTAACTCTGTGAGTTCTAAGTCATTATCAGTGATGACCTTAGTCATGCTTGTGTATTCCTTCCCTTAGCATAGCCAAATACCTACCCAAAGAGATATAAACATGGTACCATGAATCTCCCATTAGGCCCCAGAGGGTGAAAAACTGTCTATGCGTTTTTCAAAAATTATGACTAGAAGCATGTTGCTATCAGCAATCTTCTCAACTTGGGTGTATTTGGTTTATTATTTTATGTTTCTGCACATACTTGAGGTCTCTCATTTATGAAAATGTTTATGGAATTTATGTTTAAAGGTCACATGTATGTTTCAGGATGGAATATAACCAATGGTTAGAAATGTGCTTTACTTGTTTTAGCATTAATAGCTTACACAGCTTAACTCCACAATAGCTACTTGGTTATGGGTGAAGGAATGAGACTGAAATGGTTGATTCTCCACTGGCAAACACAGGATCTCTTTGATGCTCTGAACATTCAACGGCAGAATCACCTGGAAATGAAATAGATCGAGTGGGTGGAATCAGATCTGCTTGCATCATTAGAGTAAATCAAATTTCACTGTGCTGGCAAACAAAGATGGAGACAAAGTGGTTGATCGATTGATAATATGAGTCTTACACCTGATGAAAGTCCTCATAATGAAGTGTTAATTATCTTTTGAGATGGGCTGAGGTATCATTTCTGATTAAATAAATCTAATAATTATGATAAATAGATTACTAATTCGCAGATTGTTGCTAAAGTCTTGCATGTCAGGCATACTTGAAGTCTGTATCTTCATATTTTGACATATTTATAACATTTGTTAATTTTTTAGAATGAAGATTATAGTTATGGCTAATGACCTTTACATTTTTTGCGTTAAAAAAGTACTATAGCAGTTAGGGCTGGGCCATATTACAGGGAGTGCAGAATTATTAGGCAAGTTGTATTTTTGAGGAATAATTTTATTATTGAACAACAACCATGTTTTCAATGAACCCAAAAAACTCATTAATATCAAAGCTGAATGTTTTTGGAAGTAGTTTTTAGTTTGAGCTATTTTAGGGGGATATCTGTGTGTGCAGGTGACTATTACTGTGCATAATTATTAGGCAACTCAACAAAAAACAAATATATACCCATTTCAATTATTTATTTTTACCAGTGAAACCAATATAACATCTCCACATTCACAAATATACATTTCTGACATTCAAAAACAAAACAAAAACAAATCAGCGACCAATATAGCCACCTTTCTTTGCAAGGACACTCAAAAGCCTGCCATCCATGGATTCTGTCAGTGTTTTGATCTGTTCACCATCAACATTGCGTGCAGCAGCAACCACAGCCTCCCAGACACTGTTCAGAGAGGTGTACTGTTTTCCCTCCTTGTAAATTTGATGATGGACCACAGGTTCTCAATGGGGTTCAGATCAGGTGAAAAAGGAGGCCATGTCATTAGTTTTTCTTCTTTTATACCCTTTCTTGCCAGGCACGCTGTGGAGTACTTGGACGCGTGTGATGGAGCATTGTCCTGTATGAAAATCATGTTCATCTTGAAGGATGCAGACTTCTTCCTGTACCACTGCTTGAAGAAGGTGTCTTCCAGAAACTGGCAGTAGGACTGGGAGTTGAGCTTGACTCCATCCTCAACCCGAAAAGGCCTCACAAGCTCATCTTTGATGATACCAGCCCAAACCAGTACTCCACCTCCACCTTGCTGGCGTCTGAGTCGGACTGGAGCTCTCTGCCCTTTACCAATCCAGCCACGGGCCCATCCATCTGGCCCATCAAGACTCACTCTCATTTCATCAGTCCATAAAACCTTAGAAAAATCAGTCTTGAGATATTTCTTGGCCCAGTCTTGACGTTTCAGCTTGTGTGTCTTGTTCAGTGGTGGTCGTCTTTCAGCCTTTCTTACCTTGGCCATGTCTCTGAGTATTGCACACCTTGTGCTTTTGGGCACTCCAGTGATGTTGCAGCTCTGAAATATGGCCATACTCAGAGACATATTGAAATATTGACCCTTTTTGCCAAGGGAAAGGACGTTACTTAATAATTATGCACACCTGATATAGGGTGTTGATGTCATTAGACCACACCCCTTCTCATTACAGAGATGCACATCACCTAATATGCTTAATTGGCTTTCGAGCCTATACAGCTTGGAGTAAGACAACATGCATGAAGAGGATGATGTGGACAAAATACTCATTTGCCTAATAATTCTGCACTCCCTGTATACCGTTCACGGTAATACCGGTACAATGTTAGGCAACGATAAGAAAATAAAATATCGCGATAGAATATGGGTAAAAGGCGCATGCGCAGTGCTTTTGTTTTCATACACATGGCTGAAAAAGCATGGCGGAAACGGAGAATAAGAAGGGAGAAAGCGGATCGTTGAGTGAAACGGATGAATCAGAATTGGTTTGTAAAAATGGTGCAACTTCAGTGGTGTGGAACTGGTTTGGTGTTTGTCCGTCAAATACACACCTAAGCACTTTTTTTTTGTAGAACATGCAAGCGGGCAGTCGTTATTGCCGTATTTGTCGGACTAAGGTGCTCGTAAATCTGGGAGTAATCTGGGTCCTAAACTCCGTCAAACGAACACTGCAGCATCACTGAGAGTTAAAAACTGTCTAAATTCTTTCATCTTTAATAAAACGATCAGCATTGCTGCTTTACCAGACGTAACTATGAAGTTTAACATCCAGGCATCCATGAAAACAGAATTTATTACATTTAACAGAGTTAGAAGTTAGCAGGAAGTTAGCAGAAGTTAGCTCGCTAGTTTTGCTAGTTACCTAAGCATGATATAGCATGTTCTGACTGAGAGATTTCTGAAAAAATTCAAACGTACAGCTCTGCTATCATTTCCAACATAAATGAAGACAGGAAACTAAACAGCAGTGACATTTGTAAGGTTAGTGAAGTTGGGCTAGCTGGTATATAATGATGTGCTACGTGATCGCTAGCGACACAGCTATGTTAGCATAACATAAACAGTGAAGCTGGAGGATGAACGCTCACTTTTCCACTCGATAAAAGTTAACGTGAAGGTTCCTGATAGTTAGAGACAAATGCAATCGCATGGCAGGATGCTGTAAACGGACCAAACTTCAGTCAGGAATTAATGGTACAGAAGTGGAGGAAGCAAGAAGAATGAGTTGAATTAAGTTTGATTTATCTGACTGCTTTGTTCCGCTTAATGTGTCTTATAATCCTGTGCACTTTATGGTCCGAAAAATATGTATTTGACTTTTTTATTTGGCACACTGCAGTTTAATGTTGCAAAGCACCTGTTTTTAACTTCAGTGGATATTATACATGGTTATGCTCAGGATATGTCAGCCCTTTTCTACTGGAAATGTTTTTTGGTTAAACTTTCAGCAAAGAATTTGCATTTGCACTGTTAAATTTTTATATAGGTTTAATGCACATAAAAAACAGCTGCTTGTTTAAGTGAAAATAAATGGATGGGCTTTTTTTTGCGCTAGTAATGTTGTGGAGTTGTATTTTGCCTCGC